TGAATTTGTACATTGATAATGATTCAGTTTTATCATTCCTGTAGAATAGAAGTATATTAGATATTTAACTTATCTTTAACCAAACAGTGTCAAAAGGAGTTATTTATCATATCACTTAAAATTACATTTTATAATAAACATTTTACCTCTTTCTAAGACAGCATTTTTACTGATCACAATAATAATCATTTAAAGTTTCATTACGTTAATTACAATTGTTAAATTTACATTTCATCAAACTTAATCTACTTGATACTGTAACAGTTTTTGTTAAGAAATTAGCTATTATATATAGTTTTTCAACTACTACTATATCTGTCATATCACTTTACTTTTACTCAGATGTTCTTATTAATAATTATACTAACTTAAACTAACATTGCTTCTTTGTGCATGTTGGTTGAAGTTATTTTATCTACAGTATAATATATATTTAGCATGTACAGTGATGTAAATCTTTGACTTTCCATTGCATATTTTTTTGTTTTCAAAAACCTTGGGCACCTTGTACCACGTGTGATGCCCAGCAACTTGAAACTGTCTAGTAGCCATAATTTGTTCTTCAAAATATTCTTAGAGATGAAGATGTTATACTTAGTAACTCTTACGTATGTGGCATGAATCCAGACATTAAAATTTATATTTTTTCAGCTGACTACTGATATCATTGCCTTATAGAAAAGATTAGAAATAATTAATGATGTTAGGAATATTTTGTGTATTTTTTGCAGTACTACAGTTTGCATGTACAAGACTAATAACAATAACGGTGATTGTAATTTTACAACTCTGATTATTAATGTTTAACTTGAACTCTTAACTTACTGGAATTTTAATGACACAGAGAAGTCCTAAGTGATTTTTTTTTTCTGTCCTGTTAAGTATGTGATTCGTTTAAGGCCTTTTTAAACCATTCAGACATAAGTGGCACACGTACCTATGCCAAAATGTTCCAACACAAACTAATAATTTACACTTAAGGCACACTTAAACATGACATTCGTTATTTGAATTGTAAATTCCAAAACTTTCTTTTAAAGGTTTTTTGCTTAAAAAATTATTTTTGGTAGGCATATTCTGTTTTTCAGTGGTAAGGACCTTTAAATTCACTGAATGATGCAGCACATGCTCATTTACATGAAACTTTGCCATAGTGTTAGTACTGAAGATATGAATTGTACATATTTAAAATTTTGTGCATCCATATATAGATCTCATTTGTAACTCAAACGATTACTAAAAGTGCAAAAATATGTTTTTAGACCTTATGAGAAAAATAATTGTCTTCATCTACAATGTAGATTTTTTTTTTTTCATACTTTTACCAAGAGTTAATTACTTTGTCTCATATTCTCTAATATTCATATTTTAATGTAACTTTTCAGTTATATTCTAATCAAACTTTATATGCAGGTACAGTTGTTAGCTAACAGTTGGAGTTATTGTGTTACACCAGTTTTATATAGATCATAAATAAGTTTTAACATTCTGAAACATTCATAAGATGCTCAAATTATGACCTGCAGGTTATCAAGATAACATAAAGAGGAATATGGTTTTGATTTAATCATATATTTAGTTAGTGTTAGGGAAATGTAGAGGTAGCAATAATGTGTACCTTTTTTTTGTTTATAAATGACATGTAAAAGACACAACTTCAGATCAAAGTGGGTAAACATTTTAAACCATAAGATAAATTACCATATAGGTTCCACTTAAAAGGTTTATTAAAAAGATTATCTCTGTAAGTATGGAAGATAGTTTGACTCATTGGATAGAAAACTGGCTGGATGGAAGAAAGCAGAGGGTTGTTATAAATGGATATCAGCCAATGTTATGAGTGGGGTACCTCAAGGTTCAGTGTTACAACCTCAGCTCTTTTCGATTTACATCAATGACATAGATGAAGGAATGGTCAATAGATTATTTAAATTTACTGATGAAATTAGTTTTTGCTGTTGCTTGCCATGAGGATGCTGCTGCTTTGCAAAAGCATTTGTTTGGAGTATTAGGCCAGTTTGACAAACATATGGCAGATGGCTTTTAATTATGATACATGCAGGTTAAACATCAGTAATATATGATATCACAATTTGAATTATAAGTATAGTGGAAGAAAAATGATCTTGGTATAGTGGTTGATCAGTCTCTTAAGCCATCTAAGCAATGTGCTGTTGTTAGTGGCAGGGCAAATAGAATTTTAGGTTGTATCTACAGAGATACTGAATACAGGTTTAAAGAGGTTATAATGTCATTGTATAGGTCATTAATTTGATTGGGCCACATTTGAAGTATTGTGTTCAAAAAATGGGCATCTTACTTCAAAAAGGACATTGACTTGTTAGAAAGAGTTCAGAGTAGAGCTACAACGATATCTAGAATGGAAAAGTTATCATATGAGGATACATTAAGCTCTCTAAACTTGTTTTATCTTGAAAAAAGAAGAGTTAAAGGGAATCTGATTCAGGTGTTCAAGACCGTTAAGGGAATTCAAAGTGTCGATACATATCTGTTTTCATATTTAATGGTAAAACTAGAGGACTAGTCTTTAACCCACTTGGTACAGTTTCACTTTTTAGGTTCCATCTGAATAAAACAAAGGCAATTCAAGCATGTCTCATCTACTCCAAGATAATTACAATGATAAGGTTTAGGTAATTTTTTTGTACTGTTTAAAAAAGTAAATTGTTGAACAATATTTATAACTGATAAAAAAAATGTACAGTACTTCACACACACTTTAAACATAATTTATAATGTATGGTGGATGTATTATCTGTGGTTTGGCAAAACATCTTGCTGCAGCAAGTCAGAACATTAATGATGTGTTGAGTACACAGGTAGAATATTTTAGTATTATATTACATTGTGTTGTAAATTTAATGTATATCAATGAAAATAGCAATTAAAATGTCATAAGTAAATATAAGCATTACATTTTATTCTAAGAAAGCTCAGATCTACAATTACATTACTTATTTATATATTTATTATCATACAGCTATACTGTAAGTGTTATGTCTGTTGTGGCAACTGTCTAAAAGAATACTCTATTGGATTGAAACTGAAAGGTTGCACAATAACAAAATACAATTGTACACACAACTCCATAGGATTTAAACCTTAATACAATGTCTTGGGAAGTTAATTTACATCTTGCTTAAATTTGCAGAAATGAAATAATGAGAGCTAGATTACCACAAGTTAGCAGGTTGTCTTATTATGTTTTATTTGTTGTAAAGTGTCAGTGTATAAACAGTGATATTGATTGATAGTATCAGGTTTCAGTGTTATTATGTATGTGATGACAAACGAGATGTACTGTGAATATCAATGATTTTGTAACTATTTCGTTACACTCAGTACTTCAGGAACAAATAATTAGTTGATCAATATTTGTAGTTGAACTGGAAATAGATCCAATGTCCCTTGCATGAATGACACCGGTAATAATGTACGTGATTGAACAGAGAGATAATCTGGTATATGAACAACTAAACGATACACTGATAACATAATGATTAAAATACAGATATTGCTCAAGCAACCCTATATTTAAGAGGACTTTATTATGCTGTATACAGTCATTGTGAGCTAACAAAATAGAACATACATGTTGGTTGATACAGATGTGTCTTTGTGTTGAATTTCTTGCAATATACGTACATGTAATAAAAGTGACTTTACAACACAACAGTGTTTTTAAATAAACACAATTCTGAATTGAAAACTGAATGTCATTTTTGTTGTTAGCAAGCACTAAACTTTTCTAATAAGTTTGTATTTTGGGTAACAATTATTGTGTTTGTATCACTACAACAATTGTATGTTTCACCCAAGTTTGTATTTTGGGTAACAAAACTTCTTTGTTAATTTGGAATACAACTTTGTTCACAGTTTACTGATTTTCAGTATGCTTAGATTTTGTGAGAGCAACTTGTGAATAGATTTGAGATTGATGGTTTAACATTGGAGAAATGTACAACACCTGAGCCAAATCTTCTATATGTTAAATTACAAATGGTATTTAGGTTACATAAAAATGAACCAAGATTATAATTAGGAAAATTTTATACTGTTTTTCAGCGTGTGGGATAAGTTCTATTCTAGCCTAGGTATTTCTAAAGGAAGTTTACTAATATTTTATAAGTTGCCCTTTCTGAATTTTCCAACTGAATACTCTTCAATGGTCTTGGTCTGGTGACAGGATCACAAAACAGAAATCATTGAACTGTTGATTTTTGAAGAATTTGCAGTTGAAATGTTTCACTAAAAGGCTTACTTAGGCCTAAAATTTGTTAATGTTTTGCATTTTTGACCTATATTAAACATGCATGAAATGCTGAATTAGGTTGTTCCATGTTTATCATAACACTTCAACACTGTTATTATATATATGTTGTTGTTTTTATTGTTAGTTATATAATTAGTCTGTATAATGAAAGGAATTGTGTTAACATGTTAGAGAAAAACAACTAAACTTAACATGGTACTCTAAAACTTGTTATTTGAATAAACTATTGGGTGTTTTTTGTTATGTTAAAGTAATTAATCACAATTTTTGTTGATCTAGTAAATCTTTTAAGTAATTAATAAAATCCTACACAATTGAGCAGGTGCTACAATTAAATTAATTTGATTGAAATTAGTTGAGTAGCACAAGATGTTGTTTGTCACGTCTAGCAAGTACATTAACTCAAATTGCAGTACCTTAAAAGTTGAATTACTTTGAAACTGGAATACTGTGTTTGTGTATTAAATATATAGAGGTGGTAAGTACTTCACAATTATCATGATGCATATAATATAGGTAAAAATTCTGTACATGCAAACATCATATTGATACATGTGCATGTATTTCTTGTTAATTTTTCATTTTACTAAGTTGGCAAAATATCCAGCACAGGCCCTAAGCACTGAAAATTTGTTTAATATTATGATTATTATCTTCAGCATTAATTTTAGGTGCAGTTTCTATGTTGTTTTTTCTTTCATTTTAGTAAGAAACATTATAAGATGTCTGATGCTGATCAAAAGCACTCATCATCTCACGGTGGCCATTTCACTGCATCTCATCCATGTAGTGCATCAAAATGTTCTGTTCCGAGTAATGTTGTCCTAGATCACACAAGTGCTACAACTCTATCTGTTCCTCCCTTTGCTCCACAGCCTGGCATAGGGCAGCAAATTGGTGACCCAGTCTCCAGTGTGACCCGTAGTACAGCCACTCCACCGGTATCCTCCTCAGACTGCAATATACATGAATTTTGCTACTATTTTCAACAGTTCATATTTATTTCTGCCATTATGACTGGAAGTGCACTTGTCGTTGCTGGTGCTGTTATGCATGCACAGAATGGAGAGCTCTTGGTGTTTGTGTACATTGGTGTTTTGTTAGTTGGTGTCAACACTGTTTTACTTATGATTCAATGCTACGTGAGAAGAAAACAGAAAAAGCGAGCTCGTGCCTATTCAGCAGGACGGCGTCCACAGGATAATAGAGCTGTACACTACAGTGTTCTTAGTACAAACCCACCAGTTAGTGTTCCTGTTTCACACACACAGCCTACTACACTAACATTTGATGGTAATTCTAGATACCCATACCACCACAGAATTCATTCTGATGTCCCACATCCCATGTATGGAGACTGGAGGGGGCCTCAGCAGTATGGAGTTAAGACTTCAGTGGAAACTGGACCACATGGTCACTATATGCTGCCTATTCCAACTTCTCAGGCTCCTCCCACATTTCGATCAAGGTCGGTTATGAGCAACACACGCTACACAAAGGAGAACTTCCCTCATTCTCCACCTCTGAATCAGCATTCCTCACATAGACCAATAGTAACACCACAGGGTTCTCAACTTCCTACCCCCAGGTAAGCTACCCAGACCAGATGAAGTAAAAGCCCAAACTGATGTTGAGCAGAAATTTTTTATTTTTCTGAAATCTAGCATGTTAATATACAATCCCTCTATATATATTCACTTGTAAATTTTAATTGTGCGAAGCTTGGGGCTGATTATATGGCAGCATTTATAATGTGATCCTCTTTCATAATTATAACTGTTATTGTATTACAACTTTGGTATAAATAAAACTTAACAAGGATATGTAATAAAGTTACATTTGTACTGGAAATTATAGCAGAAATTTTAAGGTGAGTTGAATTTGGTTGTGGACTGTCACTCCGGTATAAAACATTGCATACTTTTCATGTTACTGGTTTATTCCTGTTTGTTAACATTATTTAATTAGAGTGCTACATGAAGCTAGGTCAAATGTATGATCATACTGAAAGAAAGTATTATTTTAATATGGAGCATGGCTTCACTCATTTGTGGGTTCAACCATTCAGTATGAAAAATATAGCTGTTCATTGTGTCACCAAGGTACTCCTCATCATGCAGTGTCATTTGAAATTAATTTATCTATGAGCTCATTGGTGAAATGTAGTTATTTCAAAGTTAGTAATCTACCCCTTCTCTCTCTCTCTCCATCACACCAGTTATAGCATAGTATTCAGCATGCCTAGACTGTGAATCTGAGGAGTTATGTTTGCCTCCATTACCACAGAAATATGCTATGCTATTTGGGGCCCATGGTTGAGTTATAAGTTTAATAGTTAAACTCCACAATTTGGTCAGACAAGAGTTGGTGGTAGATACTGTTGACTAGCCACTATTCATCAAGTCTATCAGTTCAAAATTAGGGAAGAATATGCACAGTTAGCCCTACATCTGTTGAAATATTACGTGTGAGCACTAACAATAATTATAGCACAGCATAATGTATGTAATAGATAATGATCAATACAAAAAAATTATTTCAAAATTTCTTGAAATGCTGCATGAACTTGTGTACTTCTGTGGTCTGCCCTGATTGTAGTAAGAGAAAAATTATGCTTCATTTACAGATCAGATACATATAGTCTTCTCAAAATGTGAAACCAGTTTTATCTTAAATATAAAAATACTGCATTTAATCTTTGTGTAGGTTTCCTTTACTTTCAAGATTATTAAGTGAATGTTACTACTGAATATTTCAGTTGTTTATTATTTCTGCACTTTTAGGAAAACATAATTTTAAATAGTTGTACAGATTGAATTGTTGGTAAAAGAAATAACTGAGTTTGATTTCCAAATATAATATTTATTGAGGAAACTTTTATCTTTTTTCTAATGTGTCCAAGCTATTTTATAGCAGAAAAAAAAATGTTGAAACCAAGAAAAAAATACATGACTTGTCACTCAACAAAAATTCACAGTTAAATTATTAGGAACTAGACCAGTTCAAGGTCAAAACCAAACCTGGTGTCAGGTTCCAATAAACTCAACATGGATTCCACTGATTAGATAAACATTTCTGACTGAGTTACAGCTGTAAACAACTTGAAATCAATATAATATGATGTAATATGCCGTGTAAGGTTCTATTCCGTTATGTTTTATGAGTGAAACTGTTAGTGTATGAAGTCATCTCTGAAGAAGAATTAAATTTAATGATAAGGAACCTGCTTGCTAGAAAATAAAAGTTTGGAGATGTCATAATGATGACATAATCTTGTCAAAACATTGTACATTTATAATAGTTTTCTATATTACCCTTTCAAGCCATCTCCAGCCTTTTAAAGAAGAATTGATTTGTGTTCCAATTCAACTTGTATGTATCAGTAAATTTATACAACAACTGTTTTATCTAAATATTGTTGTAAAGCCAGATGTCTTGTTTTACTTAAACATATCGTTCATGTGTACTGGCATATATAACTACATAATTTTAGAACTTTATTCCCATCCTAAAGAGAGCAGTTGAAAGTGTCCAGTAGATATTGAATGTGGAGATTGAAACCTGTTAAGTTAATTGTTCATCATTAATTTTTCTAATTTTTGAATATGAAAACAGAACAGAACCTGAGTTCTGTATTTAATTAGTAATTACAAGAAGAATAATTCCCTTATATTTATTGAAAAAATATAAAAACAAGTTGTAGTAAGTGTGAAATCTTTTTGAAGTTTTTTGTGATATCTTTTGCAACATATTTAGTGTGAATTTTGTTGTTGTTGTTTTTTGCTCTTTGTATACAGAAGTGACTGTATGCCATTTGACTCTTATACTCCATCTGGCCCACCACCAAGTTATAATGAGCTTCTCCATTCAGGAAGATTACCACAAGATGGCACCACAGTCCACATTCTCTGAGTTAGTACTTGCAAAAATGAAAAAAAAGTTATCAAACCTCAGGAAGTTTTCTTGTGTGTTTTAAGCTTGTCTATTACTTTATTCTGTGTACTTTGTGTATATTGTATTTCTTAAGTTTGTATGATATAAACTGTATTAACAATTGTCAAAGAGATGATATGTGTGATATGTTAGTTGCACTGTTATTATGAGTATATATGTACATGTATGCTCATTCTTCAACTTGTAGTTATTGGAGTGTCTTTAGAAATTTGGTTGTACTTGTTTCTTGAGAAAATTGTTAATATATCAAATACTATTGTAATTAGTAAAACCTATTTATCCACTAGTTGTTTCTTTTTCTGTAGAGTGTTGAAAATGTAAATACTCAGATGTGTATTTTTTGCGTACAGAGATCTATATGGAGTATCGGAAGTGTTAGGATTTTATTAGAGTCGTGTATAAAAGAATACAAATAACATTAAGAATCTCAGTTCTTGTAGATACTGATTATACACGTATTCATACGCACTTTTCTCTACAGTGTATTTTAGTTTTTCAAAGTAAACATAACATTTTTCTTTGGTATATCTAAGTATGTACAATGTATGTACACTTATTGTGCTTTTCATTTTTGATGTGTATTTTGAATCACCATCGAACTTTATTTAATAATCACCTAAATTTCTTTCTTCATAATGTTCTGTTACTGTACGTATTTTTTTTACAGAAGTTTATGAAATTGATGTGTCAAGCCAAATTTAAAATTAAAATTATACAACATATTCTTGCATATGTAAACCTCATGTTTTTATTTTGTTAATGTTTACGTTGTACTGTGCATATTAAAGTTCATTGTGCTTGTTTGTTTTGTATGCTGTTCAGAGATTAAGAAAGTTTCATAATGAAGAGTTATTACTTTCTGTTCAGATGTTTTATTGCTCCATTGTATAGGTTTGTACATAGGTACATGATGATGATATCGGGTTACTAACTACACAAAATGTTGCATAAAATTCCTAAAATGAAAATACATAAAAACAACATAACTTTTCTCTGAAGTTTTTATATGGATATTGTCATAATTCTTTATAGAATGACTTTTGGAAATTGGTATCAATTTCCTGTACTGGGTTTTAATTTCTTTGTCAGAGTCTCACAATTAGTCTAATAAGCAAAGGAGAGATGAGTGTGTACGAATCATTTCACAAAGAAAACATTCAACACAAATTTCCCTAGTTATATACTGCCAGTTCCAAAATATTTTTAATTATTGCAGCATACACTACTATACTGTAGATCAGGGGCTGTCCAACCTTTTCAGTCCTAGACACTACTATACTGTAGATCAGGGGCTCTCCAACTTTTTCAGTCCTAGATGCTTTTTTATGAGGGTGAACAATCCACACCACCACCACCACCCCTAGTTGTTAGGTAATTAAAAATCAGCAAATAATTACTACTTGTACGAAATGCTAGTACAATAATACAGTTCTACATATACAGTTTGGTTTCAAATGAATACATAACTTTAAAACAATCACAAAATATGTAAAATACTAAAAAGGGCCACATGTGGCCTATTGGTTAATGTACCCAGACTATGAATCCTCAAATTCGTAGTTTATGTCCTGTTTACCTTAAATATGTGCTCTGTACTTTGGGGCCTTGGATGCTCTATGAAAGTGATGGTCCAATTCAACTATTTGGTTTAAAAAAGCAGCCCAAAAATTGGTAGTTTTTCTGTTGACTAGCTGCCTTCCCTAGTCTAGTCTGTCAGTTCAGAATCATATTGATATGTGTGCAGCTAGCCCTTCTCTGAACTCTTTTAAGCACTTCAATTTCATCCCTAAGGTAAGGAGTCCAAGACTGGACACAGTACTCCAAATGTGACCTACACAATGACGTTATAACCTCTTTAGACTTGTATTCAATATTTCTGTAGATAAAAACCTAAAATCCTATTTTTCCTACCACTAGCAACAGCACACTGCTTGGGTGGCTTAAGAGACTGATCAACCAGAACACCAAGATGTTACGGTTATTCCCATCCAAATTATACTTATAATTCAAGTTATGATAACCCACATGCATTAATTTGCATTTATTATAATTAAAAGTCATCTGCCACTTATTAATCCAACTGACCAAATGATCCAAATCCTTTTGTAAAGCAGCATTATCCTCCTCCCAGAACTTAATATCATCAACAAATTTATGCCATTGATTTGAAACAAACAGAGCAAAGATCCTAACACTAACACCTATCAATGATATTAATCCACCATGACTGAATTCCTTTTACAACAACCCTCTGCTTTCTTCCATCTAGCCAGTTTTTTATCCAATAAGCCAACCTATCCTCCAAATTTAGAGAGAACTTTTTTTTTCACAAGACATTTATGTGGCACCTTGTCCAATTCTTTCTGAAAATCCAGTTACACCTAATCCATACCCTTACTCTCATCTTCATAAGCAGTAACCTCTCCACAGAATGTCAGAAGATTGGTAAAGCAAGGTTCTCCTTAGTGAATTCATGTTGAGTATCCAACAAAATTTTAAGTTTTATTAAATGAATTTTCAAAAGATGTTTTATCAAACTTTAAAAAACTGATGTAAGACTTGATAGGCCAAAAATTACTGGGTCAATTTTTAGCATCTTTACTGAAAAGGGGAAGTAACATTAGCCAACTTTCAATCATTTGGCACTTGCACACTATTCAAGGACTTAAAAATAGCAGCAAGTGGCTCACATATCCAGTCCTTATCCTCCTTTAAAACCCTTGGGGCCCAGAAGCATCATTATCTTTATACTTCCCAGTTTTTCTTAACAAGCTTAAATGTGGCAGTACATCCATACAAAATCTGCATGAAAAAGTTTACAATGGGAAAAACAATTTGACTCACTGTTATATGACTAATTTGATAATGAAAATATGGAATATTTATATACTTAAAACAGAACCATTTTACATGTGATTTACTCTTTAATATGCAAAGTAAGAAAACTAAGAAAAATCTTAGTTTGTTGCAACTTTTTATTGATAGGACAAAAAGTATAAGCCTGGTGAATGGGAGTACAAAGAAATTCTATTTCAAATACTTAAATTATATCTTTTATTTTATGAACTTTATGCTTAAGATGTTCGTAGTGTCTTTTTTATTTGAATTTTTCAGTTTCTGGTCTTCATTTGTATAACTTGTTCCTACTAATGAGCTCAGCACACCCAATTTTTCTTTGACAAACGCATATTAACTATATTTGGTTTGGAAACAGGATTAAAAGTTTTGAAAGTAAGGATTGTCTTTCTAAATAACTAGGTCACTATGAAATTTTGTCTTGTGTGCATTACAAAATAACACCTTTTCACTGTGTAATTGTATAGAAATTAATTTTTTGTGATTGAAAGGTTACTCTTGCTTGTATCTGAAAACTTTTCCTCTTATGAATTAGTGAATAATGGTAAATCATATATACTTCACATCA